AGAAAATATTGTCAAGGATGTATCTGGTGCTGGTATCCTATTTGCACCATTGCATGGGTGCTTCAAAAGCACAAGGCCTGTTGGGGGATATTTTGCTGAGTCAGTTACTGATCTTAGGGAATTGAAAGCGTTCATTCGTATTTTTGGTGGCTATGGAGTTGACCGACTGGATCAAATGATAAAAGAGCATACAGCTGCCCTTCTAAATTGTATTGACACATCATTGCGAGCAAACCGTGAGAATCTGGAGGCAGTTGCTGGAAGCATGCATTCTGGAGACAGGATGGAGAGAGAAGCAAATATTAAGCAAATTGACATGGACACCATGATTGGGTTCTGTATCCAAGCTGGGCAAGCAATCGCGTTTGATGGCCTTTTGGCAGAAGCTGCTGGTGCCGTGCTTGAAGAAGGTGCACCATTGATACATTCATTACTAGCTGGAGTTTCTAAGCATTTACCTGATGATATACCTGAGAAGAAGGAGATCAGAAGGATGAGAAGAGTGGCAAACTCCATTAATGTATTCCCTGACCATGACTCCGAGTGGATCAGATCCATACTTGAAGAGGTTGGGGGTGCAAGTGATGGTTCATGGAATTTGTTGCCATACTTATTTGCCACATTTATGACATCTAATATCTGGAACACTACTGCTTTCAATGTTGATACTGGAGGCTTCAACAATAATATGCACTGCTTGGCAAGGTAAACATTTTCCCTCTTTATCGAGTCTAATACTGTGTGTTTCAGAAAACGAAATAAGGTGTCAAGTTCTGCTTCTTGAAAATTTTGCATGTGAAAGCAAGCAGGAGAATTTGACTCCTGATATTGTCTGACATAGCAGCAGCAGTGGTTTTCTAAAAGATGTTAATAAGTATGTGCCGATGATTTATTTGCTGCAATAGTTGTTTAATGATGCGGTTCCCTACTACCTCTTGTTGTGTTGAAGAACTGAAGTATCTACAGATATTTCAGACTATAGTTTGAGCTAACATTCATTTGGAATCTAGAGAAAATGATCTGTGAACATGGATTAGTTGTTTGTGTACGAACAATTGCTGCTTCTGGTAATCTAGAAAAACAGGTCAAGAACTCTTTTGTTTGCTACATTCACAAACTTGTAGAGTTTATTTTCTACAAACCAGCATATTCGTGCTTTTGGTATGGTATGATATAGAAAATCTGCTCACAAAAAAAATAAAAAATAAAAAAAGATGCATTCCCCTATGGTTCCTGTAGTTTACTTGACAAACAATTTCGTTTATTGTGCACGTTGGTTACTTAACCAGCATTGGTCAATGATTAAATGCTATAAATCCTTGTAACATTGCCGCCCATGTGTATGTGGAACTGGAATGAATGTGTCAATACTTCTACTTTCTGGTTTCTGAGTTCAAGATTCTTTGACTCGAAAGGCTTTCTTGGCAGGTGTATCTGTGCAGTAATAGCAGGAAGTGAATTTGTGAGACTTGAGAGGGCATATCAACAGAAGCAGTCTTTTTCCAATGGCCATGTTGACCAGACACTGAATTCTGAGAATCAAAATCGGTTATCAGCAGAGACCAATATAAAGACCACAATGCAGCTCTTTGTGAAATTTTCTGCTGGAATAGTTCTTGACTCTTGGATGGAAAACAATAGGTAAGTTTTTCCTGGTAAATTGAAAACTAGCCTGAAATATCTAGTAAAGGTAGAGAACTACAAATAGCTGATCTGAAAGTCAATGCCTGGGAATGTTTTAGCATTATTGGTTCAGGGTAAGGGGAGCTATAGTAGTCAATTGATGCTAGTTCTTTACTAGATCTACTTGGGCAATTGAAATTAGGAACATAGCCTGTCTTGTGTACAATCTGTATTTTTCAAGTGCTTCAAATTGTCTTTTTAGCATATTATTAAAATCGGCAATTGCAATTTACAGATGCTTTTAAGGTGGTTCATCTATCCCACACCAAGTATTAGAGGAGAACAAATGATGTTGGTCTTGATAATTGCTAAACGAAAATTATGAATCATGATTTGGATACTGTCCGAATGATGAACTTGTTGGTTAATAGGCTTTAAAATGGGGTTATATATTATAGGTATAATGTCTACAAGCCTAGCTCGCCTAACTTCTCTGGCAAGATAGACGTCTTTAGTGTACTAGAATTGCAAAGCTTGTGTGTCATACTGATTTATTTAGATTGGCTATTACACAACCATGGGCGTATCTGGAGAAAGTACCAATCTACGCTCTCTTTATATGATTTTGCTGCTAATATATGATTTTAACATGCAAGATGCCTTTAAATCAGTTCATTTGCTTTCTGCATAGATCTGATCTCGTTGCAAAGCTGATCTTCCTGGACCAATTTTGTGAAATGGCAACATACCTGCCAAGAAGCTCACTGGAATCCCACATCCCGTATCCCATTCTTCGTTCAATCTACAGCCAGTACTATGCAAATTCTCCTTCTATACCGCTGGCATTACTAAGTGTATCTCCCCGCCATTCTCCTGCTACATTAGCACATGCATCTCCAGTGGTGAGGCCACGTGGTGATTCAACTCCTCAGTTCAGTGTTCATGATTCAGGGTATTATAAGGCATCCACAACCCCTAGTCGTGATCAACACTATGATACTGGCAATACAAGTGTAAGAAGCGTGGATAAGCCACATCGGAATGTTCGGCGCTCTGGGCCATTGGATTATAGTTCTAGTCGCAAAGTGAAATATGTTGAAGGGTCGACCTCAGGGAGCACAGGTCCTAGTCCATTGCCAAGGTTTGCTGTGTCAAGGTCTGGTCCCATGTCATACAAATAGAAACATGAACCTGATCATAGGAAGTTTTGTATATCTGCTGCTGTTAGTTGGCACTTGTTTCAGGGCGTAAGAGTTACTCATGTAGCTTACACCAATTTTGGGAATGCTTATATATGTAGTTGAGATTCTTTCCTCTATGAATCAATTTCTTGTAAGCTTTGCATAATTGCTTCAGTTTCCTAGATAAAATACTTGTTGCCTCGTGTAAAAATGAAAGTAAGTTACTTTTCTTCTCAGGGGCATGTATGCTGTCATAAATAGGGATGGCAATGGATAGAGTAAAACTTGGTACTCACAATATCCAATCCGATGATTAATCCGATTATATGATTGATGGGTTAACCCGCGACAGAATGTACAATTTTATCTTCCTAGGCATTTTTATATCATTTTGTTCATATTTCATTTTGACCATCTGGACATGATCCTGGAAGTTGAAAGTGAAAGGATTGTTAAGCCATGGCTGTAACTGGTGGTTTTAATCTTGATGTACTAAAATTTCAGTTTAGCTGAAGCTTATTTCTAGAATTTTTAAACTTTTAAGGTTGTTGTATTGTGGTTTCATGACTGTTTTGATAAGTTTAAATTGTGGGTAGAGGGTACTTAATGGTTAATTTGAATCCTGAGTAAACAGGTCTAGAATGCGAATTACTCTTGTAAGATTACTCGATATGGTTAGAGTTTTGGAGGAGGGATGAGTTGGATGATACGAGGGGCAAAATTTTGGGTTCGAGACCTCTCACTTATACTTGAAAAAAAAAACAAAAAAGATATATAGTAAGAGAATGATTTAAACTTGTAAAAGTTTGATACATAAGTAAAGTTACATAGCTCCAAGTTTGGTCAATTGACTCCACTAAAATTTTAAATTCGCACACACACACATATATATATATACACAAAAACTAGGGTCAATATCAAATAATTAAAAAAAAAATTGAGATGGGGCTCGACATTTCAATGTATATAAGAATTGTTATTGAATTATAAGTAAATTCTAGTGGAGTAAAAGTGAAATAAAGAAAAAAAATTAGCAACAGTAACTAAAAGGAAAATCCGTTAGAAGGGGAAAAAAAAAAAGGTCAAGCAAGAAATGATAGAAACAGAAAGAAGAAGGCAACAAGATGGAAGATAATCAAAGATTAATCAAGGGTCTAAGACAAAACTAAACTGATAGACCGTAGAACAACTTGCTAGGAGGAAGAAGAAAAAAAAAAATTCTAAACTCTCAAAATGATCCAGATTTGATCTCAATAACTTTAAGGTTAGTAGAACTTGAAGTTAAGATTTATTTATTTATTTGAGTATTTAATTTTGCAATACTTGTTGCTTCATCGCTTAATCTAACATCATATTGCTATATTTAATTGTATTTGTATGTGATCATCAATTATGCAGTTAAATATTAGGGTTTGGATTTTTATGTGGGACTGTTAATTATTTAGTTAAGAACAAAACTCAATGCATCAGCTGCTCGTGACATTGATTTTTATTCCTAATTTGACTATAGGAGCTCATCACTGTGTTCAATGAATTAAAGTATGCACTTTGTTATATTTTAGGGCCAATTCTTTCATTTATATGAATAGTTGAACACTGTCTACTTTCTAATTTGTTATGCACCTATCTTCAGCATTAAAATTTAATTGCCAAGATTTATTAGTTTGGTGGAGACAAAGATGGGCTTATTAAGCCTCTAACTTACATTTTAACTAAATAACTCATGATGTGCCAAAAATCCATCCTCCCACAATTAGTGATCGTATATTAAAATTTGCATCTACACGTAGGTAAAGTTATCGTTTATATAAAAATAAATTTTACATAAACTGACAGTGCATATACTATTACCATTAAATTCATAATAACGTACAAAAAATTGAATTTCAAATTCAAATTTTGCATAATTATCATTCATTCAAGACTGATAGTGTATACACTACTGTTATTGTAAAAAAAAATTAATAATTCTTCATATAATATTTTGAGAGACGAATTATGTCGTCGAGATTGAAATTTCAACTTCTAATGTTAGTTCAACTCGTGGTGAAAAGGAAGGTATAAAAAGCTATTGATAGTGAGGAATATGCTACTGAAGTATGAAGGTTTTAGGAGTTGTTACCGGTTAATTTTGTGTTTTGGGCTTCTTAATCGATTTTCTTCCAAGCAAATGGAACAAAGACACTGGAAAGTCGATGAAGATAAACCAAAATTATTGAAACCAGCAGGAAGATACTTCCAAAGCTGAGCTATTCCTTCATTTCCTTGGGCTGGCATGCATTTTCAGGAGAAAAACTCGAGAGAAGGAAGAACTAGACACACTCTACTATTATATATGATGCTTTTTATTGACAGAAAAGGTGAAAGGTTGAATCAGAGCAGCATAAAGGTTGAATCAGAGCAGCATCCCTTTATCTAACATGAACTATTGCTCCTGTTGCAACAATTCCATTTGGATGAGACTCACAATACACAGGCCTTTCATCAATCAATTATCGCCCTATTGGACCAATTTACCAGCATTCATCATCGTAGGTGATGCCTGTGAGAAAATGGATGACAAAACCTTGTTATGATCTGCGCAGAAGCGAAACTAAGCACATTGCTCAGTGACATGAAAAATGGTGAAACCAAGAAGTGAAAGGACAGTATAGGAAGGAACCTCAAAGTTTCTTTGGTTCCTCGACGCACTTTACAACGGATAGTTTTGAGCCCTAGGCGTTGATGAGCCTCGTAACGGTGGCAACCAGAGAAACCTATCATGTTTCAGAGGTAACTGTGCAACTTTAAGCAATTGACGGAATGCAATATTTACAATAAATTTTGGTGGGGATTGAATTACAAATTAAAGGAAATTCATCTATGTCAAGGAATCCCAAATGTCTGGATATGTAAGAAATTCAAGCCTCGTGCTTACCATAATAGACTCCATCAACCTCAAGCACGTCAATCTGCACCAAATTTGTACAACCAAGAATCACAAAGTTCCAGAGGCTAGAATTGAACAAAAACAAGTATAAAAAGAAGAGCAAAATAGAGAATGCCAGCAGTTAGAAGATGCTTAGAGCAGGGGAAATAGTTGTGGCTCATTAGCAAAAACCTGGACTAGTAAATGGAGTTGATGGATGAAAGCAAATTCTTAAACTTCCTTTGGTTACTATAAGTGTTCAGTAATACGTAAAGTTGACTACCAAAATCTTTCAGTCGTGATACCTCCTTGAAGAGGTTACATCACATGCTGTGGTTCTGTATCAAATATGACATTTCTGCTTATCAGAAATCCTTAGTCCTATATTTAGTTGGCAATGTATGCATGAAGCCTTATATTCATCTTCTTATGCATCTAAATACCATGAGAAAATTCATAAATATACCTTTGGTGAAGTGTTTCAGTCCTTTTAATCCGGAAAGAATATTAAACCACTCAGGAAGCACAGAGGTTCTTGAGCTGATTGATTGCCTAATAACAAATTAAGTTGCAGAGCTTGTAGTAGAAATGAATACAATGGAAGTTCTTATCACTTCACAAGTGAAGTGATTCATGCATGAGTTGCTGCTGCTGTCATTTAAAGAATATGAGTTTGCTAGTTTCTTGACTAACTTTCTGGGTTACCATATGTACTCTACCATTCAAAAATGGCGTTCTGATGTTGTCTGCCTTATTTCTTAAATATGAATGAGATGTCTATAAAAAAATTGAGAAAAGACTTGAAGCATTTAGAATAGGAGCACAGTCAAGGAATTTCACATTAAAGTGATGTATAGCACAATACACAACTTCAAGCTGTTGCACAGGTTATATGTTTATGCATTCATATTTCTCTGGCTCCGTTAAGCACCAATAAATGAAAGCTTTGAATAAATGCAGAATAACTTCAACCGGTCCTCCATTTCGCTATTGAGACTGCAATTTTAAATACCTTCTGGATCCAATCATCAATCTGATCATTTTATGGAGGTAAAAACTCCCCATGCAGTTTATTCCATGTAAAGTAAACTGTTCAAGAAAATTGAGATCTCAAGTAGACATGATTAAATCCATTAACAACTATGCATCTGCAGTTGGCCATCTCAACATAATCAACTGAAGTGCTGCTTGCAAATGCTTTGTGGAAAAACAGATTCTTTTCCGAATATATTTTGGACAATTATTAACCCATCAAATCATATTCCCCAAGACTACTGATTCTTATTTGAGATCTTCCATAAAGAAAAAGAACCACATTAAGAGCAGATTCAACAGGTTAATGATTTCTTATTCACGAAAGGCCAAAAAGTTCAACAACTTTAATCAGAAAGTGTTTCATCAAGGAGATTACATTCGCTAAATACAGGCCTCTCCTCATTGAAAACTTCTAAAACCACCTTCAGTCATAGGTTAATTTGTTAAATCGATATAAGCAACCTTAATTTGGGTAAATAGGAACGCATGTTTATGAGGAGATACTAACACAGACAATGAGGACAGCAAAAGAAATTGACACTCTGTAATTCAAGCTTCACTATAAACTTTGGCCAGACAGGAAATCATGGAATTAAATTCTGAAAATACAAATAAGAAAAATAGTCTTACAGGGACTTGGAGGCCAATTTCACTGATACTGTCCATGAGTTCTTTCACCTTTTGTGGGTCATTTGCTCTGGTGCGCATAAGGGGTCTTCGAATTTTATCAACGGGAAGCTCCAAAATCGCTGGTCCTCCTGACTGAGGTGCACCAGGAGGTGAACCTGAACCCACAAAACAATTACATGCTAAACAACAGAAAAGGTAGAACATAATTCATATTCCAAACTCGATTAGTGAAATTTTGCACCTCTGAACCATTATTTCTCTATAAATTACATCTGAAAGTTATACTTGAGACATATTATTGCAGTTTAGCATTCTATGACCCTTCCAATTTTACCCAGTTGAAGAAGTACCAATGAACTAATCCCACTCTTTTTTTTTTGGATGGGCTTTTGTGGTGGTGGTGGTAAGAAATGCTTTCCACTTTCCACTAGAGTAATCCCACTTTGCACTCGAGTATGGCTACTTTGACAATTAAAGCTAGCATCAACAATTTTTCGACGTTAGGTTACATCGACGATGATAGTCTTTCACAAGAAATTCAGTGCAGAATAACAATCTTGTGGGGTTATGATATGGAAATAATACCACAACTACTTCATGAGGGTCCAACACAAGAACTTGATTTTTCTCATTATTTGTCCTGGTAACAGATTATCATACCGAAAAAGAGAACTCTAAAGGCTTAAAAGATTAAAACTTGGCAATCCCATCATTTTCTATTTTATAAGAAACTAAAGGAATAGCTAAATATCTTGGAAAATTTAACCTGTAGGTTAAAATAAATATTCTGATATGCTGTGCAAATTTGAGACAAGAAAAGTTAAGAATCAATAAATTTTCAGAGAAAAGGAGTGTCAAACTTACCATTAGAGGAGGCTGAGAGAGCAAAGGTCCTGAGATTGCTAGAAACTTGAAGAAGTAAGTTTGCCATCTCCTATTCTGGCTATCAGAATTCAGGATGATGCAGAGATAATCAGAACATCAGAAAATAAAAGAAAGTGGTTAGAATTTCAAGTAGGTATCCACAACTATTGCTTAATTATGTTTGAACCACAACCAATTTACATGAATTCCACAAGAGTTTGGGACAATTTTATGTGAAGCATTTTAACTTATAAGAGTGCACAACTAGGACATTTGAGTTATATCATATGTTAATGGCTAGTTTGGGTGTTTAGGATAGAAATAGGAAAGAAAAGATTGATTAGGAAAGAGAAGAAAGAAAGACCCAAGTTTCATTTACAATTATTTGAGAGTTTAGGAAAGGGAAAAAAAGAAATGATTTTGTATTAATTAATTAATTTTATAAGTGTGCCTTTTCTATGGGTCATATATAGTGATTACTAAGGGTAAAGATTGTCATATTAGGACATCAATTAAAACTTCCTTCATTTCTTTTCACATCAGCCTATTTTTGGGCAGCACAGCATACATTTTGGTTTGAAAGGAAAAGTACGATCCTTCCTTTTTTGGTATTTTCATTCTATTGCTTTCAAACAAAAGAAAAGATTATGCTTTGTGTCCAAACTTTTTTTTTTTTTTTTTGTCTATTTCTTCTCTCTCAAAGAAGCTATAAAAGATATATTTTGTATATGTATATAGAACAAACAGAAATTCAATCTCTCCTTCAAAAGGATACGAGAGATACTGAATCATTCTAATTTATCTATTGAATTCATTTTATCTATAATTGTGTAGTCAATTGTCAATGATATCTTTCTTATTTCTTTCTTTAACATTTCAATCTCTTTGGCATAAATCATGCATATGATGCAACATATGAATCCTAATATCAAAAAATTTAAATTTCATGATTTAATCATTTGATGCAAAAGTAATCATAATAATGATTTCTTTTTATGATTGTGGTTATTGGGAATGATAAACTTATGTGCTTAATAATGTAGAAGATTAGGCACTCAATTCCTTAAAGGTTCTTTCCTTTCAATATTATTTTCTATAGTATGATGGATTTTGTTAAGGTTAAGCAGGAAAAATTTAGAAGAAAATAGTCTTCTTATTTAGACAAAAATTGAAATTACATATGCTCAATGATGGAATATTTGCTCTATAGAGGTCAAGACTTTAAATCGTTTAAATCTTCTTCTCTTATAAGTATTAAAGCAAATGGTTTGTGTATAAATAATACTTCGATGACATCTTTAAAAGTACAAAACTATTTTGTTATTATGCCCCTACTCCTTGTCAATAGAGACCTAAAGTGATAAATAAGTCGATCGACTCCAATTCAAAAGTAGTTCAAGTTTGATTCATTTCGTGAGGGTGCGTAAAATTACATCTAAATTTGATTGAAATACTATTCAAATCATGGTCAATAAGTTTTTTGTCAATCAAAGTTCGGAGTAGTTTGACTCAGTTATAGGTAAATATTATTTTAGCCTCATCAAATTGATAACAAAAAAGCTAAGAAAAAAAGATAATAAAAAAATTGAGCAATATTGTGATTTAGTTCTATAAATTGACAAATCTATCTAGATTTCTTATTTATAGGTAAATATCATTTTGACCCATCAAAGTGATAATAAAAAATCAAGAAATATTTTCATTTAGTTAATTAACAAACCTACCATGAACTTTTATATTCAACAACTTAATAAAAAAGCCAGATAAATTGGCTCCCACCATCAACCTAGTGTGGCCTATTGAGCATTCAACATTCTGTATGGGTGTAATTCACGAACAGAGAACTCATTAAGGAGTAAAATGAAAATTCAGGAAAATCCATATCCCTATGGGCAATTTTTACCTAAAGAACCCCCCTTCTCTTCAAAATCTAAAAAACTAGTCCAACTAAACTGTTTCAGTGTTTTGGTGCATCCAACTCCCAAGTCCACTGAGTCCCAAGTCACTCCCAACCATGGTGGCTGCCATGAACTCCCTCTTCCTGTTCCGGTAAGTCTCTTAATGCTTGAAGAACCCCAAAGTATCTCTATCCATTCTCTGCTCTTTGTTATTATTTGGTTTTTTTGCTTTCTTGATTTTAAATGGATTCTACAGTGGCCCTCTGACTATAAGAGCTCTGGCTTTTGTCAAAGCTTCCAATTCCATCCCAATAAGAAGCCTTCCTCTATTTCATCGCCCCCCTTTTAGCTTTCGCAGGTACGAGATGCCCACTGGCAAGATTAATTCTTTCCATTAAATTCCCCTTTTGTTATTTTTTTTTCTATGCTGTAAAAGAAGTTGTGGTGGGAAATGCCTTGTTTTTAGACCATTTTTCATGTACTTAATAGATAATAGCATATTTTTGTTGTCTTCGTGTTGTCTGGAGCAATGCAGTCCTTGGGGGGGGGGGGTGTTGAAGGAAAGAAGGGAGGGAGGGGAAGGAAAAAGATAGAATGGGTTCTGTTATCTGGGGAAGAAAAGAAAAGGCAAGCAAAAAGATGTGGAATTTAGCCCCATGGGACTTACCAAGGTCAAGAAAGCAGAATTAAAATATTACTTTATATTAACAGCCGTTGTCGTCTATTTATATGGTTGCAGCCGGAGCATGAAGCTTTTGCATTTTATCATCTGAATTTTGATGCTGTTATGGGATTGTTGGTCTAATAATGGATAATTTGCATAACTTGGAGTAGTTATGGATAAAAGGGAGTTCACATTTAGCTGAGTTGAATGTGAATAGAGTATCAATTGAATTCTGACTTCAGTTTTTTGAATTTTGCTCGTGTGTCTTTAATGGGAGTGTTTGTACTCTTCAATTCCGAGTTGAATGTGACTAACTTTTGATGCATCTTCACCTTAGAAGCATTCTTTCGTTTGACTTTTTTGTTTTTTCTTTTGGTTTGGAATTTGGAAGAACCATGTCCTCTACCAGTGCCACAAATGATGAAGAAACTTCTGCTCGAGTAGCTGCAGCAGATGCTGATACTGGAGGACCAACCATGTATTCTTCTTCTATATCAATTTAAAGTATTTCTTTTTTGTCGTCTTCATAACCATATCTATTTCAGTTAAATGCCTCGGATACATTCTAGAATTGGAGAATAGAGCATGAAGCTGAATGCTACATGCTTCTTTTATGTACTTGACCTTATTATGTCCACCAATGCTAGACTTGTCCAGGACAGAAGAAAAATAAAGAAGTGGACTAAAGAATGAAGCAATTAATTGTAGGTTAATTTAGGTAGAGTTTTGGAGAAGGTTATAAGAAACTAATGCATCTGTTTTAGATTTTGGCCCTGTATAACAGAATGGTTGGCAAAGTGAAATCTGTTGGAAACTTTTCTGAAAATTATTGCTCTCTTGTCAGTGTTCTTAGAGCTAACAAAACCAGTTATAATGTTTCAGATAGTGTCAGTTTTTTATTTTTAGAAACCAGAAAACAAAGTATTAAACAGATGTTTCGTGGTTGTTTAACATCTGGTTTACCATGTCTGAAAAAGGAAAGTAGTTTTCAAGAACATGAATGGACAGTTCCTGTTCTATAATGCTGAAAAAATCTATTTCTTGATGAACTCAATTAATATGATTCATATCAGCTACACCACAGATATCTTAACAAGGATGAAGTTGAGATATCTATTCTTTCATTCTCATGTCTAAAGACGTAGAAAGATGAAACAAATGTTTGTTCAGATTGTTTGTTAAGGAAATTTCCTTGGCTTTTAGTGTCCACACATTCTAAATTGATGCTATAATCTGTTGCCATCTGTCATTCTTTGGTTATGGTTCTTCATCAGATATGACAAGATTATTGCAAAGGAAATTCCTTCCACCATAGTATATGAGGATGACAAGGTACTGGCATTTCGAGATATCAACCCACAGGCTCCAGTGCATGTTTTAGTCATACCAAAATCAAGGGATGGGTTAACACAGCTTGGCAAGGTAATTTTTCTTTCCTTCTCTTTCATCTGTCGTTTCAACAAAAGGACTTTTGCTGCTTATTTTAAGATATACATTTTGCTTGGTATTTGATGAAGTATACAAGAATACTACTGTTTTACTTTCTTGAAGAAATAATGCCTAGATTCTGGAAATTGGTAAGGGTTGCTGCCATGCTGATTGCTTCATTGGAAGAGAAATACAAATGAAATACAGAAATTAGTTGCAGGGCAAGAATAGAAAAAAAATTCTCTTTGTACGATATAACAACAGGATAACATGGAATTGGTTCACCAAAACCGATTTACTACATGCCAAGCATTCATGGACATTTTTCAGATTTATATTTTTTATCCAGGAGACAGCTCAATGTATGATCCCACAGATCATAAGATATGCGGCGTATTTGCTGGTATCCCAATCTTTGGAAAATATCTTCTGCAATTACTTATTAGGAATGTCATTCTGGTCTTCCCATGGTGTAGAATTTGTATGTTGTTTGGTTATCTATTAGTTTTGTATGTGTTTGCATGTATGCATGTAAAAGGCGCAAAGAATGACTTCCTATTAGTGCCAGGAGGCAACATATCGGCATGTTTACCGTAATCAGATATTTATCCTTGCTTTTCAAGCTTGATTTCCTAAATTATACATGCTATAGATTCAAGTCATTCTAGGCTTGATAGTGAATACCTTCAGTGTCATGCTTAACATTAAGTTGCCCCTTTTATTGATATAACTTGTATTTTCACTCAAAGAAATTCATGAATTCATTGTATGTGGTGGAAAGTTTATGTAGTGAACAAAAGATTCATTGGCTGAGTTCCAACACTTTGGCAGGCTGAAAAAAGACATGGAGAAATACTGGGTGAGCTTCTCTATGCAGCCAAAATTGTGGCCGAAAAAGAAGGCATTGTCGATGGTTTTCGTGTTGTTATTAATAGTGGGCCAACAGCATGTAAGTGTCATTTATAGTTTTGCTTTTTCTGTTTGTGTTTTAATTGAAACAAGTACACTAGTGCCAATTTAGTGAAGAAAAAATTGGTTCTCTAAATCTTCTAACCCAAGCAAATGGAAGTCTAAAAGGCATGGTTTTAAGTCCAAACTGCTTTTTTCTTACCAATCACAACTTCATTTGCTCCCTCACGCAAAATTTT